CTCTACAACTTTCGTCTGGAGCATTCGTTTCTATTACCCATACTCTCTAAGTTACCGCGTTTTATTCAGAAAACGCGCCGTGCGTGCGGACTGACGAAAATTCCGAAAATTCCGAAAACTCCCGGCGTCCCTGTTTCGCGTTCAATCCTTGGCTCGAGGGTTGATATTTCTCGTCCCTCGCAACGCTCCGGCCGTGCGTTACATAAATTGTGGAACTCTAATGTCCTCTCGAGCTAAAGAGGCGATGAAAGTTCAAGAGCCCTCGCGAGCTCGCCCCTACAGTATGCACATATATGTATTACATGCCCGCTTTTATAACTTCACCGTGGGAATACATGCACATACGCACTCACATATACACACACATGTGTATGTACATGTATACAGTATATATTGAGACGTCCCGTGATAAACTCGAGGGAGGACTCGACGTCCTTGCGTCCCGGCGACGTCCCACAAAAATGGCTTAAACCGCGAGTAACAAGGAAATTGCGGCACCTTTTGGCCCCTGGCTCTCACGGATCAACGGAATGGTGGAATGGGAATGCCGGGAAGTTTTTAATAATCCCCTGAGTGCTGGCAACCTGGCCAGGCACGTGGCAATTGAGTGGGCAATGTGTTTCCTTCGGTAAATTGGCTGTCTTTTCAGGATAGGTTTAGGTTAGGTTCGGCGTGAGCTGGTTTTAGGTGAACCTCGGTTTGATGTAGGGCTTGAGAGGGTTTAGGTTAGGTTGGAAGTTTTATATTAGTGGATTTTTATTATTTTTTGAATTTTTAGTGTTGTGAATATACTGTGAGAAAGATTGACAAGAATAAATAGAAATTAGTATAAACAAGACGAGTTTAGAGAAGTTAATTAGCTTGTGTTGACGTGATTTGTACGCGGTTGACTTATAACTGACTTATACTACTTGAAACATTGATTATTTTCTTTCAAGCAGGGAATAATATTTAAATTCACAGGAAAACAATTTCTCAAAGATTCTACTATTGTAATATAAATAAATAATATTTACAACTAAATTTCAATATTTCCCAATTACACATCCTTCCTACACTCTCAACGAGTCGTTACAATTAATAGTCCTTTAAATAGAAATCTTCAACCAGCCGGAGCACGTATTTCCCGTTGTCCGACAAATAACAGACTTATACTACTTAAACTATTAATTTCCCAGCAGACAATTAGAAGTGTTTCACGCGAGGACCCATTATAAAAACCATATTATCCCTGTCAGCCAGACCATTTCTCTTCGCTGCTTTCTAGAATTCCGCGCTCGGAAACTTCCTCTCGACGTCCGACTCACGGCCGACCTATACCACTTCGCGCACAGTTTTTTCTTCCCTCTAGCCCGGAACTATGTCCAACGAGTTATTGACTTACTCCACTCGCGGGCCTAGTTCTTTCACGGGTGGAAGACTCTCGAAGAGACCTTTCGGTGGCCGAGATAGGAGGCGGCGAGAAAAAAATCGAAGGGAATTCGGCGCCAGGGAAAATCTCGGCGATGGAGCCGGACGAGCTTTGTTCGAGCAGAATGGACGCTCTCGCGAGCTTCCCTCGGATCCTATTTACTCAGGGCCATTTTTGAGTACGTCGTTGAACGAATATATACACTGCCTGATAGCGTCCGTCTAAATTAACACACGTGTATTTTCACAGTTAACAATAATGTTTGTTCTTTAATATCATTTTTTCCTGTGATAAGGATAACGACACTTTTAGCTCAAAGAAATGTTCTCAGTGAAGCTAGTTGTGTTTCTAATCAGTGCGAAATTGTTTTAACGCGAGTTAATTAGGTTGTTTAATTTAGGTTAGGTTAGTTTGGGATGATTATATTTTTTGTGTTATTGAGGATATTTTAAAGTGGATTATAAGTTCAGTTTGTGTTGGAAGGTATTTAATTGATTAATCGTGAGTGAAATTCATTAAAATTGTAATTAAAGCCAAGAGGATTGTAAATTAAAGCGGTGGAGGTGGAGTGAAGTGTAGGTTAGGTCAGTGAAGTCAGTTTTGTTTGGGATGAAAATTTTTATATTTCCTAACAGTCGTCTATTAATCAACCATGTGTCTAACTACCTTACAGTCTGGGCGGAGACCTTTAGATTTCCCAATTGTGTAATCCTTCATTTAAGAATATTTTTCGCGGTATCATAGATTAGGTTACGGTTACGTAAGTAATAAGTCTATTCCCCAATACCTCTGACGTTTACGTTAATTAATTAAGTTCGGATTAATTAGTCCGTCTGAAAGCATAGTTGAGGTTAGGTCATTGTTGAATAAATATTACGTTAGGTACGAATTAGATCTTCTTCAATGTCTCTCAGGCTTAATTAATTCATTAAGAATGTTCTGTATGAATTGGGGCTTCTAGATTTCCTAATCTCTCATTTCAAAGTATTTTCACTGGAACCATATTTTAGGTTCGGTTATCGTTGAGTTAGATCCAGATACAATATTTGTAATTCATATTTGAAGGAAAAATATTTTTCCCAAAGCATACCCTCAGATCACTATTAAATTAAATCTGGGCTAAATCTATTTTCCAATACCTCTCATTCATACTTCGTTATTAAAAAAAACTTCTCAATATTATTTCTAATTAATCATAGTTTAAATTAAAATCTTCAAATTTTTCAATTCATTGATTAAACACATTTTTCTCAAAGCCACCCCTTAATTTAGATCACTATTAGGTCATTAATAAATTAATTCTAGTTTAAATCAATTCCCAATATTTCTCATTCATACCCCATTAATGAAAATTCTCTCAGTATTATTTCTAATTAATCACAGTTTAAATTAAGAACTTCAAACTTTTCAATTCCTCATTTAAAAATATTTTTCTCAAAGTCATTCCTGAATTTAGATCACTATTAGGTCACTAATAAATTAATTTTAGTTTAAATCAATTCCCAATACCTCTTATCCATACTCCATTAATCAAGAACACTCCCATCATAGTCACCAACTTCCCCCTCCACGTCTTCAAACTATAATCCCTAAATCTTAAACAGCTTCAACAAGTACCATTAACCACTGAATCACTGCGCCATCGATCGAAAGCCGGTTATTCACGAAATCTATTTCAAAAACGTTGCTTCCCCTCGAAAACGAGTGCTCGAGCGTGAATCACGCGACCAATTTTTAACTTAAAATTATTTTCCAAGCTTAATCGTATATTCTAAATTGATTTTTGATCTTCCCCAGTAATAATTACAAAATTAACTATAAAAAAATATCCAAAATTCAATCAAGAAAAACTGATTAAACCGAGAAAATAATTTTAACACTATTTCTACCAAAGGTATCAAAACATACCTTCAAATTTATAACTTAAAATTATTTTCCAAGCTTAGTCGTATAACCTAAATTAACTCTTCGACTTCTACAATAATAATTACAAAATTAACTGTAAAAAATATCTAAAATTCAACCAAGGAAAATAGGCAAAAATAAAATTCATCGAGGAGACTTTGCCAAATTTCTGAATTCATTTCCGGCGTAAGTGTTTAACAAAATAGTCAGGTTTGACACCTTACTTTAACAGAACGTAACATTTCTTCAATCTTTTATTTTCCTTCTTAGTGCAAAATTTGCATGTGTGGAAAATTTAATAACTTTAGGGCAGTTTCTTTGATTCGTTAAAATATTTGATATTATAACTAGTGCAATATTAAAGCCTACAGAGTTCAAAGGGTTAAACGTCTTCTAATATACATTACACTGCGTAATTCCATCACTTTTCTAACACGATCGAACCACGCGGCAGCCCTTCGTGGCTGTGTTCGCCAGCGAAATCGATGATCTTTCTCCCTGGTTGAATAATTGATTCGTCTGGGAGTCCATCCGATAAGAGGGCCGGCTTAAATCGAGCGAAAGAATCACGGGTGGCGCGTTATCATTCCCGTTTCGCCACGTGACCGCCGTGTCTCGCATCCTCCCCCGGAAATGTCAAGCCGCGCGCCGCGGCTATAATATAATGGCTGTCTATCGATCGCAAGAAGGTTTCACGTGACGTTCGTGCTCGCTCGCGACTCGCACACGTGACGAAGAATTAGAAGGGAAAAAAGGGGCGACGTGTCGCGGTTCCCCGGAAACCGGATTTTTCGGCTAGATATGCCATTTTTATTATCCTATTATGTTATCGTAGTTTTTCTCCGTTGGAAACGAAAGGGAGTTAATTGGAAATGGAATTTTGATAAAATTATATAAATTTTTGTATGGATAGTTGATAGATTGTACTGAGAAAGGAGAAGGAATATTTAGTTTTGTTGACTCTTGTTTAAGCGAAATAGTGGGGTGAAATTTGTATTTAATGTTGTTATAATTTTATTATATTTAATAGTTTTATTTGTTCATTATTGTATTGACAAATGGAACTATCAACGATTTTTTCTTATTCAATAATTGTTTTACCATAGAACGTTATTATAATGTTATATATAATTTTGTTATAACTAATACTTTCCTATTTATTATTACCTTTACAATAAATAAAACTACCAATAAATTTTTACCATAGAAATTTCTATAAAACCAAAAATGGCCAACTGGCACAAATCCGAGTAAAAAATTCTACTCTCCATATCATAAATATTAATGAGAAAGAAAGAATAAAGAGATTCTAGTTTTTGTACTTCCCCATCTGCGTGAAGAAATACTAATACACTTTCATCGCCCAATCCACGAACAAAACCAAAAATGCCAAAAATGACACAAACCCGAATAGAAAATTCTATTATAATATAAATAAAAATACTATAATATAAATATTAATGAAAAAGATAGAATAGGAGATTCTAGTCTTTGTACTTGCCCACCTATGTGAAGGAATACTAATAAACTTTCATCCCCCAATCCACGAACGAAACCAAAAATGCCCAAAATTACACAAATCCGAATAGAAAATTCTACTATAATGTAAATTAATACTGTAATATTAATATAAATATTAATGAAGAAGAAAGAATAAGAGATTCTAGTTTTTGTACTTGCCCACCTGCGTGAAGAAGTAGTAGTACACTTTCATCCCTCTGTCCGCGAACAACTGCGCGAAGTGTATCGACGGGCAGATGAAGAAGTAGTCGCCGACCACGTCCGCGATCATCTTCTGGTACATGTATCCGTTGTTCAGCTCCTCCCAGTCGGTGTACTGCGGCACAGAGAAGAGGAGAAATGCACTCCGGTTAATGGAAGCGACGAGTTTTCGTGTGTACGCGGCGGTCGCAGGGAGATACGGCCCGTTTGGAATTAGATAATGGCACGCGTTTCGCGGAGTGTGCGCCCCGCATCGTGAATATATCGATACGGTAAAGTTTCGGGGGGCGAATGCTTGGGAATTTATTGTGTTTGAACGGTTCCGTGTGTGGGAAATTTGTTGTACTTGAATTAGTTTGACGCTCGAGTGTATTTATTATTGTAGTTCGAGGTTTTGGGGATTGGTTGTGATGCTCGATCGGTGTTTGGGAATTTGTCTTGGTCGCTTTTTGTTTCAGATTGTATCGTGGTTAAGTGGGTTTTGAGTTTGAACGGTTTTTGAAGGCGTTTAGTTTGTTTGGATTGTTTTAGGTTTGAGCGAGATTGAGGTTTTAATTAGTGGTAAGTTGGTGGGTAAAAATTGTTATTACAAGTTGTATGAATTATTAGTTATCTAGATAATCATACAAAAACTCCCTACCCCATAATGAAAATATCAATCACACTATACAATACAACACCATACACATCAACCCTCGCTATTCCAACTTTTTTATAAAAATTAAATATAACCAATGAAATACAACTAAAAATTATAATTACAAATTATATAAATTATAACTTCTCTAGATAATTATACAAAAATTCCCTATTCTATAATAAAAATATCAACCACACTATACAGTACAACACTATACACATCAACTCTCATTATCCCAGCCTTTCTACAAAAATTAAATATCACCAATGAAATACAACTAAAACTTATAATTCCAAATTACATATTATATCTTCTCCACATAATCATACAAAAATTCTCTATCAAACAACAAAATTCCCTAAAACCAACCGAAAAATACCTCACCAAACCGATCATCCCTTAAAATTCGTTGCTAAAAGAAACTAAGAATATCGATATTCGGTCTCGTTGCAACCGGTACGCATTCTGTTGCGTTCAAATGAATCTCCGTGTAACCAGCCGTTCTCGATGGAGGGCAATGGCCCGAAAAGAATTTTTTAATGAAAGAAGAACGACGTCGTTCCGCCACGGTATCGGTGCCCGGTTTCCATATTTCAGCCGACGTTCAAACAACAAGCCGGTGCTCCGGTAAAATTCACGGCACAATCATGCTCCATTTATCACGACGGCCACGGGAGCGTTGGAGAGCCGCTCGGCCGCGATACGCGGCAATTATTGCTCCTGTTTTCGTGTAAATAGAACGGGGAGCCCACCTATCGCTCTCGCGCGCGCTAATCGCGGGACACGAGTATCGACGGCCGGGGGTGGATGAAGATTTCCTCGATTGGATTACGATCTCACGATCCACTTGCCTGGTGTGTGAATAATGTCATGGGGAATGGGAGGGATGCTTTGTAATGTTTAATGGGAATATTGTTTTGGTGCTGTGTGATGTTGAAGTAGGTTTGAGATGGATGGTGGTGGATGTGAAGGATGATTTGTAGGGTTTATTGGGAATATTTAGTGCTTTGGTGAAGTATGATGTTGAAGT